CTTAAGAATCATGCATTTTTCCACTGATTTTTGATGATCTTGCAAAGTCAAATATATCTTTTAGCAACCAAACATACGCATTCTTTCAGTTAATGTATGGAGAATTAAGTTTTTTTTATTTTATCCTCAAGGAGGGAGTAATATTAGATCTTAAAAAGTTTCTAATTATGAGATTTTTAAGACCGTGCAATGTCAAATCATATGGCATCGTACCTGTTCATTTACCACTGCTCCTCATGAAATGTACAACGTAGTCCGCATTCATTGCGAAATTTTATGGACTCTATATGACATTTTTTATGGCATAGAATCCTAAGTAGTTTTCTTTGCGCGGAACGCATGCATTTTGTAGACTGAACTCAGGCTCCAAATTATTCGGCGATTAGAAAACTTTTTAAAGACCCAATTATACTCCTTCCTTGAGTATAAAATATAAAAAAGACGTGATCCACTATTTTTTGACTGAAAGACAACATATTATTGTTTACGGTTTCTATAAGATATATTTCAATTTGCACAACCATCGAAAATCAATGGGAAATGCATGCTATTTAAGTAGCCCTTTTTTTTACCAAGTATGGTTGTTACAGGAGATTAAAAAGCAGTGTTTTCACAAGCTGACATTCTGTTGAGTCCGAAATGTTATAAGATTATGCCGTAAGATAATCAGTATTACAACGGCGACCAGGTAATCCTTCCTAATCGAAAACGCATTTCAGAATTTCAGCCAACATTTAATGAGGTCGGCAACTCACTGTAAGGAAGCACCTCTAAAGACGAAAGCTCCCCTACGATTTGTGCTCTTTTGGTAATTTCTATACATATGAGCGTCAGGGATTATTGCATTTGACGGTCGCTGAGGGACACGTAAGACAACTAGACAGCTGCTTTTATTTCAAGGTCACCCTGTAAGTCAGTGACGTCATTCGCTGCCGGAAGATTGTGTGTTAATCCTATTTGCAGATCTGTGCGGCATCCGCCACTCATCACATTCCAACATTTACCGTAAGTTAACTGAAGTTTCAGGTCCAGATTATTAATCATTGATTTGAATGCAGTGACCAGTGAGGTTATTCTCGTGTCTGCGCGCACCAAACCACTGCTGATGCATGTATTCACCGAACCTAGTTGTGAATACGTGACCTTTAAATACGACATTTGCGCTAAGAAACTGAAGGTACTGAAAGACGGCACACTGGATATATTTTTCAAAGTTGACAGGTTCAAGTAGCATTTCTGACGTGGCCTTTTATTTACAGAGACTGCTTTTGTTTTCTGGTTCTTTACTCAAGGGGGTAACACAACGAATTTTGCCTGTGGCAAGCCTTAGCCTGGAAATCACTATGGCAACTGGTACACGCCTGGTGGGTAACCAGTGCGCCTGAGTTTGGCCAACAGCCTTCTCGCAGTTAAAAATTACTTGCCTTTTCCCTTTCCAGATAAATTTAGGCCAGTCGGCGAATTTTTCTTGCCTGCTTAACCTCACATCAACGTTAACGTAAAGTTTGCAGGATAAAGCTGCAAATAAAATCTACTGACCTGCCTCTTATCAGATAGGGTCTTACATAATAATGCGCAGTGAATACTTATTCCATATGCAAAATAAATGAACTGGGCAAACTGCGTATGATAAAGGATGTTATTTTTAAGAATTTTTTCAAAAAAGTATAAACCATCCGGGGTATTTAGTACAAACGAAAAATCTTTTACTCTCGAATTGCTTTTAAAATGTTCGACCTTATCAAGTCATAGAAGATGCTAAATAAAAAAGGAGGCAGAAGTATAAACGTGAATATTTATCATGGTGAGGTTTGGTCCTGCATCCCCACTCCAGTGATACCATATGTCAAGCATTCTACAAAATTTTTAGTAGATGCGAATAGGCTGACTTTACAAACATCACGTATTTGCATCTTCTTTACCACTTTAATCCAGCGAGTGACTGCACCACAGTGTTAATACGTCTGCCTCCGTTACTTCAGGTATCAATGTAAACGCGCTTCCATGCGCGAGATTCAAGCCCTGCTTACGCTCCCGCTATTATCTTAACCCCGCAAGCGGTCAAGCGGACTTGCTATTGGAATTGATTGGATGGTGTGGAACTCCGTCGGTTTCACTACAGCGGCCATGATCCGCGAATTACCACACGCTTCACCCCGTGGCCTTTCAGTTTTAATAGTGTTCTCTTCATCCTCACAGCCCAGCAAGTGATTGTGTTGCGAGGAGAGTGTGTACACACCACCTCACTCGCTTCCCTGTGGGTGCTTCTAGTTCTGCTTGCGCGCTCTCTCTTTCGCTCTCTCTCTTTTCTAATCAAATGAGTGATTTACTTAGGTATGCTAACTACTATTGTTTTAGTATGCTAATAACACGGTATCAATCAAATGGGACTGCAGAACCAAACCTCGCTCTCACCTTAGGTAAACTTGGGCAACGTTTTCTGAAAATGCAAAGTTGATGCGGCTTGTTGAAAATCAGTCGAACCTGAAGATGCTGTTGTTAATTTGGAGAGTTGGCATTCGCAAAGAGCGCGTATAGGCCTATCTGCAGCTTGACAAAAATGGTCGACAGTGGTCAAATTACCGACGCTGAGAAAGCCCTCTCAACTACCTACCGAATATTGACATTTTACCGAAAGGCTCAAAGGCAAGGCATTCTTACAACAGTAAAAGCGGCAGTCAACCAATTGTAGAATTTAGTGTAACGTATTTTGAACATTCGTCGCACAAGCGTTCTACCGAACGTAAGTTATGTCTTCCTTTTGTTCTGTCCACTCACACTAACCATAATGCCATTATGTATCCACCCAGCGTTATTCTGCCTACTATCATACGTTTCCTATAAAATAATGTAATTTACTCGGGAGCTTGGTTATTCACGTGATGTGGTTATCGGATAGTGAAAACAATCATTAGCCAAAGTGTTATCCCCACTGCGAGCACATTCAGAAACCTTCAACTGTCTCCTATCAGGTATAAAAACGTCCTATCCGACCTGTTTACTCGGAAAACAACTAAATCCTCTTTCACTTACGTTCCCCACAATGCACAAAGGCTCAAAGTCAATGGCTGTTGGAATATATATCTCTTTTTGATCATATGCGATTGATCACCCGAGTACCGCACAGATATCTTTTACAATCTTCAGTTTGGACTGTCATTCATTAGGAAAGTAAACATTTCTGTGGCTCAGGAACAGACAAATAAGCCTTGAAATGCTTTGCGGAATAAAATCACTAAACAAATCAATACCCTGTTAAAATCTTAAATTTTTGCTGCACTCAGGGCTATGTCAGCATGGAAAGTGCGAAGAGACACTTCTATTTAGATCTGAATTTCTCCTTGAGGGAGGGGAAAATCTTTACGATTACAATTAGTTCGAATGTTTGCAAATCAAATCCAAACTAGGGGGGACTTGTAGGACATATTGACTCATGCCACCAAAACGTAAAAATCATCAATCCGGTGAAAGGGATAATTCAAGAGCGTTCCGTCAATAAGCCTAAATCAAACAGTCATTTATGAGCAGAAGATTTTTTACGACTTTTCCGATACACTTAACGAGACCATTGGGTAAAATATAAATGTTTCATTAGCGTCTCATTTATGAAAACAATAAAACTAATCTCAAAATACTGGCCGTTTGAAACTTTTGCTAGAAATCAAGAGCTTTATTTCCACCCCTCACAATTTGTGAGCCATGTTGCACGCTACCCAGTAGCTACTCGGAACGGGTGAGTTCCGAAGAATGCTTGGTGAGCACCCCCACCATTATATATATACATACCTGAACAGGCGGCTCACCCTAACTGTTAGTTCCCTCAGCAAAAATCCCACCTAATCTTTAAGGATTGACTTAATGGAAAGATGCGTAAGATATTCGCTCTCGTTTTAAAGAGTTCATAAAGCGTTCTGAATCTAAGACTTCTCAGAAGGCAGCGAATGATTGTGCTCCCACACTGGTTCCTGTATTCATAGGGAAACGTAGTCCTACTTGTTTCGGGTGGGTCCTTTTGCCAGTGGCCGCGTATTTTTTGTTTATCCCAGGATCAAATAAACTTATCCACTTAGGTGTGATCGGCATAACTGTGGCAAAGTGTATTCTTTTACCTCTCGAAGATTTTAGAGGGTCTTAAAATTTTACATTTTGACAGAAAAACAAGAACGACCTTAAGAAATGACTAAGTTGAATCATCTACGAGAGGCAAAAAAATAAAGTTCCCTATCGGTTCGTAATGTCTGTCTCAGTGTCTTTGATAAGCTTGTAATGAAAGGCCTTATGGAAACGATGGCCTATTAGAAAAAGCTGCGTTCTATAGCAAGCTTTGAGGTGAAATTTCGAATTATGTAATTCGTAAAAAAAGGACCAATTGCATGACAATATTCACATACATAGAGTTTGATTCAAAACTTCCAAAATATAAATACAAACCCGACGCATTGGATTATCACCTATTTTATTTACCGGAAGACAACCCGCGAAAAACGATATATGAAATGTGGTCGACTAGAGTACGAAAAAAGAATATGTTTTCTTGACATTATAAGATTAAAATGGGCCTAGTTAGAAAGAAGAGTCGCGAAAAGGCCCGTAGTTCATGCTTGCTGATTCTTTAAACATCGGGGAGCACTTACTCTATGTGGCATTTGACTTATTAGAGATTTCGGAGTGTACGCTTAGTATTTAAATGTTTAGTGATACTTAAGATTACGCCCATGCGGTTTCTTAAAAGTTGCGATTTGTAACCTCGCAGACAATTGAATCGCAGAAAGCACGATGGTGCTTTGCAAAGATCAGTGTTTATTGGAATGCATCAGTAAGGTCACAAACAAAATCTACATCTTTTCTTCTGTTAAGGGTTAAAAGAATACTTTCTCACAGTAATCAGCGGTGCCATCTGTGATAAAATACTGACTTGACACAAATCTAGGAGTTAAGTCGTTTGTTTTGCCTGGAATTCCGCAAAAAAGTAAATATGTATATATATACTTGAGCTTGATTTACAGAATGGAGCACTGATTTCGAACCCAGGCGGCTTGAACTGCCTGCGCCGCCGTTGGTTTCGGTCCGGCTTCCCTACACTGCACAAACTTCATGACCTCCTTGAGGATACTGAGAACATTGAAGTTGTAAATGGCGGAGCATTCCACCAGAACACAATTTTTCCAGTGTTTCTTAATCAGCACAGCCAGCTCCCGTCGAACCATATTTTTGCCTGAGGGAACTGCTGAGCTGAGTTGCAGGGCTGAGGGAAACCCCAAGGACTGAGGCAGGTCCAGACGGCCAACGGAATTATTGCTCCCCTTGCTGGCATTGCCATGGCTGCGACAAAAGAGGTTCCTGTTGAGCCGTCGCATTTGGCCCCCTGAGGTAGGCAGATCAGCAAATTGTCGCACCGCAGGCGTGGCGCGTTTGAGCAAGTCGATCTTGTTGGCCACAATGACCATGGGCACGTCAATGTTGGCCATGAGGATCTGTTCACGAAGGGCCCTCACGTATTGGAAGGAGGGCTGGGAGGTGATATCAAAAACAAGAATGAAGAGGTCAGCCAGATGGAGGCCCCAGCCTCTGAAATTGGTCCACTCCTCGAGGGTGGAGGTGGGAAATTCGTGCGTAATGGTGGGACAGTCAATTAGCCGAATCTGATAAAGCTGGTCGTTGAAGTAAACAATGGGACAGTAGTAACTCGGGCCATCGCGACTGCCAGCGCCAGCGGCGTCCTTGCTCGCGGAATAAACGGGCTGCGCCTGGACCAGACTCTCAAGAAGGCTGGTCCGGCCGCTGCGAAAGAATCCCAAAACGGGTATATTGATTACAGTACTGCCAGAAATGGGGAGGTCTGCATTTGGACCGCAGGTGACAGAGTCTTCTTGTCCTTCCAGCCCTGAGGTGGTCGCATCAGAGTCCCTATGCACTCTGTCAGTTGGGGATCCCTCCAAAGTCGGTCTTACCGCTCTGGTTGGTGCGCTTTTTGTCCGAGTCCGGGCAAATTGTTCGGCGCGAGATGCCAGACGATTAGGGAGAGGGGAGGCTTTACCATTACTTGGCAGCGGTTGGGCAGTTTGTGGGACACGCACTCTGTGCACAGGGGTCGCAGATGGAGAGCGTGCACGCCGCCGGACATCCAGATGGCTCCCAGTTCGAGTTTGATCCGAGACCGTTGTTTTTCCCTGGACCTCCGACAGACGCACCCTGCATCGTGTGGCCGCCCTGCACAGTCCATGCTGCCTCCTACTGGAGGTTTTTAGAATACTATTTTCAGTGATGCCAACAGCTTGAGTCCAACGAGCCAGTCGAGCAGCACCGTCATTCGAGAGGTAGCGATGGTGGAGTATGGGATCACTGGAGGCAGACTGAACAAACGCATTCTGCTCTCTACCCGCCAGCCGGGCAATGATCGGCAACTTCGCAGTGATACTCGATAGTGTCTGCATGGCTGGTCGAGCCACACTTCTGCCCTCAGACGGTGTTGCATTCTGAATCTGCCGCTGACGTACTAGGGTCTTGTTACCTGTCAATTTACAGTTCGCGGTGGGGACGCTGGGGGAGATGGATGCGGAGGAAGCGGAGGAGGCGGCGGCGACGGGGGTGGGCTCGACCAGGAAGGAGAGTTTCTTTGGCACGGAGGAGCATCTGCCCTTTGTGCGAATTGAGCTTTGGCCCGATGCGCGCAGGTTGAGAAGGACGACCAAGCGAAGGACTGATTGAATTTGCCGGCAAGAGACGAAAACAAACTGACGGGCGAGAAGCAGACGGTGGTCGTTGCCAGCTGTCCAGCTGATCGACCAGATAAGCCGCTTGGGGTGAGTTGAGCCAGCCGTCTTCGCATTCAGGAAGATATTTTGACTCTCAGTGCCCGCCGGGGCTACATGACATTGTGAATTCTAGTGAGCTCACTGACTCCTGCCATTCGAAAGGCTGAGCTTACACTAACACGCACGCATACACGCACACATTCAGGTAAAGCAGCGAAGAGGGAGAGGTGGGACCGAGCCACGTACGCTTCCTTACCGACTTAAAATCCGTCACTGACGACGGCTAAGACATTATTGGCCAGACGAGCTGTACGCTTACCTACAACCAATCGGAGCACAGGGATTCTGCCTGTCAGTTGAAATTGAATAGGAAAACGTTGGGAGCGAGCATCCGTGTTTGCTGTCGGCGGTCTCTCCCACTATCAGGTCGTAAGTCGCTTTTTTCGCATTGCAATTAATTGAGCGACTTGTATAGCCGGCAAGCGCTCGTCCGTGACTTAGCATACCTATCGTCACAGCGCCCAACCAGAGTGTTACATTCAGAGAATAAGAATGGCCAGTAATGCGTCTATTTCTGCTGAAATAAACGGTCAGAATTTAACGACACTTAACGTTAACAAAAACCCTGTCAGTATCTCATACGCATGGACAGACAAAAGCGTCAAATTCAACGTATATGCAGGTGGAATGCAGTTTTTGTGTTTGCATATACTTATCTGTCAAATAAAAAAATGATGGAAAAAAACCAATAGCCCAAATGCCGGGGTAAGCAAAAACGTCAGGCATTGTTGCAAGCCGCTTTTTTTCTTCGGACCCATATATTCCATCTGGGTTAGGGTCCAGTTCAAGCGGCAAAAACCACAACTAACCTTGCAAGTGCTGAATGATTCACCGCGCTAACAGAATATGTACCTGCCAAAAGGCCAGACACGTGTTTCGCCGTGTTGTGCAGATGCATGGCGCACCTACGATAAGTTCAGTTCCTTGGGGATCACCTAGTGCTTAGGCTGTTATTTCTAACGTTAAGTCTAAAAAGGTTTGTTCGGAGGGATTCACGCCCACTTTTGTACATTTATTTCAAGGTGAATCAAAAAGCCAGCAACTAGCCTTAAGTTTGTTTTCAACAGGTCTGAGGAAATAAGAAAGTTTAGAAAACTTCCTTTGGCTCAGTTAAATCCCTTACTTTCAACTGACAGAAGGAATGTGCAATCCGGGAGAGTTGTGACTACCAGAGAAAGTTAAGCTTTATTGGCGAATTCGCAGCTACAAATGCCCAGCAGATCATCGTTTGGATGGCAGCATTAGTCGCATCCTGCGCTGAATACAGGGCGTCCACTTTTTAAATGAAATCAACTATGATCTCATTAGGGTATTATAGCCTTTTAATTTCCTCAGTGCACTTTGTTTGTATATTTTCAAGGTATACATTACATCCTGAAATGCATCATTGGTCCGCCTTAAGTGCACATGTATTAGAGTAGTATCCACCATTTGACAATCTGGATTAGTCCCCGTCTTCTTCAGACTTAGAGATCAGAGAGTCGATACGATGTGCGTTACTTTACTAACAAAAAGGAGCGAACGGAGGCGTTGTGATTTTACTCACTCATTAGACCCCAACAGGATATACTCTTATCGCTTTAATTCCTATAGACCCTATGATATCCTCTACAGTACTGGGTAAAGTGAAAGCATAGGGACCAATCAGAGATCATATCCTAAATTACTATACAACAGCCTAGGGGAAATCATGCTTTAAGATCCAAACAAGTATACCAGTCGGCAATTCCAAATAACGAGCTATTTCGAGTTGCGTACAAGGCCAAACGGTGAAAATGCTGAAAACTTACATTTTCACGCTGGCGTTTCCTCAATCTCTCTGCAGATTTCATTTGCAGTTCCATATGTTTCGGTTACCTCATGTAATGTACTGTTAAAAATGTCCGATAGATTTTCTTCACGTTTCAGAGCACACAGAGCTCAAAAACACCACAAGGACAGTCTTACAGGTTTTATTTTTATTTTTTACATCCCCATGGTATAACTGCTCAGCCCTACTCGGCAACGCATTTTGAACGGACATTAGAACACCCCTTCCTCCAGCTAAAAATATCGTCGAAATGAAAGCTGTACCAAGTTCCTTACAGAAGCAGGTTTGGTCATGGATTAACTACCTAGTTTGGTCTTTTTTAATCTGAATATTTGGATGTATGACCAGTCTGCAGAGCTTTCTGTTTGTCGAAAAAGTATTGCTATTGAGGATTAACGTTCTCTCCGGTGGGAACTTGTTCCAGAAATCCAGTCCTTCGTTTACGCCGTCAAATGCCTCAGAATCCTTCAGTCTTATGGGTGCTTGTGTTATACTTTTATGAGCGTAACGAAAGCGCAAAAGGAGACCATCGAAGGCATTTCTTCGAGTTTAGATGAGGCGCATCAAAGTCGTTTCCTGGCTTAATCATAAAAGTGACAACTGTAAAAATACATTTAAAAAACTCCCACCAACCAATAACCTCAGCCCTGATAACGAGAAGTGCCGATATTTCAGTTAAGCAATGGTAACTGGTGCCATAGTACGACCCTCACTGCATTTTCCACAACTTATGTAGTACTCTCCGCGTGTTCCAATTGCAAAACAATGTCAAGACAACTACAGCTCCCGGTAGATGCCGTAACTGAACCCGTAGAAATTCTCCCTTTGCAAGTGCCACACTCGCGATTGTCCCAAGCTAAATTTTTGATTCGATTGTCTGAACCGAATGGGCCGCCATGAGGGGCCCATTCGGAAAAAGGCCAACTCAATTCAAAAATATTTTTTACGCGTCGTGACAGATAAAAATGTGCCAACCTTATTACAGTAAGCGGATTAAGCTTAAGGAGTTGGGTTTATTTATTGGCCAATCCTGTCCTGCCTACCGGTGATAAATCTATGTCTTGGGTACCGTCTCAATGCCCAATGTGACATAACACTTCAACCTAACGATTTTCACGCAGTTTTTTTCTGTCTAGGTGCACCGTGATACCACATCCTATTTAAAAAATCAAAAGAACTGAAACTGAAGCTGCATCGATCAAATCGAGGGTGAGAGCTTCAGGCCCAAGAGCAATGCGTAATCCTCAAATTCCGAACGCTCATGTTCAAAAAATGGGGACAAAACTACTCTTGTTGTAAATTAGGTGGGCTAACTCATGAAATGTCAACCGAAATTCCGTAATGCGCTTTCGTATCGAAAATATTAGTTAGGTGGGGTTGTAAAACTCATCATCGCAGCCTAATTCTACAATAATTCAGTCACCCCAGGATGTCGGCTTTCAACAGAACTTCGTTCCGGCTGCATGCAAAAACCATACTCTGCATAAAGTGACTACTCACTTGGCATGCATTTTTCTCATTGAATTTCGATGTCCTTACACATTTAATCATCTTTCATGAAAAACGCGCATAAACATATTCGTTCTTTTGCTCATTCCGTCGCAAACTTACGTCTTTTTTCTAATGTTTTATTCAAAGTAAAAGTATTTTTCGGTTATATAACTTTTCGTATTTCCGAATAATTTCGAATCCCGACCTGCCGTCACACTTGCATTTAGGTTTTCAACACCACAAGCCGTATACATTTTGCGTACAGAAAACCACGCATTGCTCTACGATGTTAAGAGGAGACCATATGTGGTTCATAAATTAAGCAGTGCATTTGAGCCATAATCTTAACATTACAAGCCACATGAGTAAATGCAGAGACATGACGTTTTTTGAACGGAATTTCGCGGTTTTGAAAAATCTCACAATTGGAAACTTTTTAAAACCGAATTATACCCTTCCTTCGAGTATAAACTTGGAAGTAGACGTCATTTGCTACCGAATGAGCAGAAGAATGAACATTTTATATATGTTTTCTATGAATTAAAACTGAAGTTTTAAAGGCATCGAAAGTCAATGAGGCAAATTCATGCAACATAAGTAGTCATTTTTTACAGAATGTGGTTTTTCGCCTGCGGCCGGAACGAAGTTTTTTCGAAAGCCGCCATCCTGAGATAACTGAATTATAATAGACTTATATTGCATGCTGATTAGTTTTACAACCCTACGTAATTAAGATTTTCGAAATGAAAACGCATTTCGGAATTGCGGTTGACATTTCATGAGTTAGCTCACCTATTGTAAGGATGACTAGTACATGTGTTGTCAGTGTGATAAATAATCGTACAATTGTATATTACTGACTGTCTGTTGGCGTTTTGTTTGTGATAGGCGGTTATTCTGCAATAGCCGCTGGATTTCAGCCAAAATATTCATATCTTTGCTCGGACCGTGCCTGATAGGGTTTGTTTCGAAGAATTTACACCACGTTTTGCGCATTCATGTTCTCGTAATATAAAAAAAGAAAGATGAAACTGAAGTTCATATAGAAGAAGACACACGAGAAAGGCTGGGGGACCAAGTGATGAGCCGAAAACCCAGCAGCTGCGTCAGGCAATAGCCCAAGATCTGTGAGACACGCAGTTTTGAGATAGTACCAGTGTGTCAGTATGGTGAAAAATCACAAGGCCGCTCATTACTTGCTCAAGACCTTTCGATAACGAACTGAGTCGCTCTGAAAGTGAGGTGCTCAGAAACCGAATTAATTTAACTGCCTGCCAGATCTCCCCGGACACATTTTACGTTTTGTATCGGTGTCCAACTCAGGCAGATGTTCTTGTCAAAGTGAAATTTCGGTCGACAAACCTGAACGAAAGCACCTCAACAGCTCCAAGAGGAAGTTAATATCTAGTAATTTTTACATTTTACTTACCCCCTATTAACTAGGAAGCGGACTGCAGGTTGACCCACGGAGGTTATTTCTCATTTTTGTTATACAATTCCTGTTTAACTGAGGCATAATTAGGTGAATGAGAGGTTGGTGGCCTTTTCTGACTTAAGCAGCTAGTCGTCTGAACAAAATGAATAAGCGTAATCCGTGCGGTTTGATCTACTTAACAGAGAAAGACATCAAGACCTGCAAGTAGATTTCTACGGTCAAGGCGCAGAAACAGTGCTAATGGCTTGATATTAAAATGTAAAAATACTTCCAAGCCCCTGAACCGGATCTATCTTTTCCAAAAACCAACTGTAGTTAAATAGAGTGTTGTGTATATTTGCTTGCTTTGCGTTGGAATTTTCGGGTACCGCGTATCCGACTGTTCTACTGCCGAATATCGCAAGCAGTTCTGCATTCTTTGGGGATGGGAGGTGGGACACTGACAGTTAATGGAACTGTTTACGTTCACAGAAGCGAACATCAAAACGAGACCAGATATCGCCTTTGATCCCAACCTGTATATTGCTCACGCTGTTAGTAGCACCCAATTGTGAAAACTTGGCGGTCTCTGTGGCGTTCATACCAACGACAGCAAGTCCAGCCAAGACTCTAGCTACCCGAATTATGACCCTGCCATCGAGAGACGTGACCCTAATCGCATTTGAGATAAGTGACCCATCCAACATACTGCAACGTATAAAAGCCACCAATTCTGCCTGCTCCAGCCGTCTTCCCTAACTAATTAGTCTAAGACCTGTAGAACACGGAAATAGGCAACCCCGGAGTGCAGAAGGCCTTGCGTCAGATGCTAGATCGAGGAGGACTACTCTTACGGTTAGGGATAGGGTGGAAGTAACACTAAGGTTTAGGTTAGGGTCACGACACGGATATAGGTGTTTTTTTCTAGAATCTAGCGTATGGCTACCTGTGTTCCAAGGAAGGGTTCCTGCTCTCGTGTTTTACGTGAGAGTCCAATAAATACCCACGAGACCTAATTATTTGGTGGGTAATTTTGGCCCCGCAGTCGGGGCCTCGTGGCAGCGGTATAGAGAAGGACCCGATTTAACTGCCAGTATACTGTGGATCGTGTCGTATGGGGTTTTATCATGGCATACATTTGGAGGCCGTTGCAGAACCTACACCGCCGACAACGATTAATTCT